TAATTGTGACTGTTGTGGATTTTAAAATTGTTGTATTGTCTTATTTATTCCCTCCCGTTTATTGTGAGCTGCCCGGAGTCCTTCGGGAGTGGGCGGCATACAAAACCAATAAACCCAAACCTAAACCATAAACATTTTTGAGGTCTTATTATTTTTGAGGTGCAGGAGGCGGCGAATGTGGTCACCTCAATATTTTCGGGGAGGACTTATTTTAGCACATGCGCTCAAAAGCCCGATTGGGCTTATTATCCAGGGAGGGCTTATTTTGGGGGGTGGAAACAGGGTATTGTTATTATTCTTTATTATTCTTATTATTATAGGTATCTGCTCACCTCAAAGCCAAAGACCAGCTGGACGGAAGCCCCCCGGGTCAGGATGCTGTGGTAAGCGTGGCTGACAAACAGGAAATCTAGGATGGCCAGAAGGACCATGAGAGCTAGGGAAAAAAGAAAGGCCGTTCGGTCACTGGAAAAGCAGAAAGGAGTGAAGGAAACACACAACAACACGCCAGAGAACTCACAACGTCCTAGAGCAGTGATGGCAAACCTTTTCGGCACCGAGGTGGCCAAACGGATCGCGCATGCATGTACACAGACGGGCTTGCTGGAAACCCAAAGACCAGCTGGTCTTTGCGCGCACCGGAAACCTGAAGACAAGTTTGCCAGCAAGTTTTGGGGGCTGGTTTTGGGGCCATTTTGGGGTGATTTTCAGACTGTTTTTTTGTTTTTCCACCAGAGCACCTAAAAATGGCCTGAAAAAAGCCTGAAAACAACTCAAAAAAAGGCCCAGAAAACACCCCCCAAAATGTCCTGTTTGGGGGGTGTTTTCAATACTTTAAAAAAAAAAAAAGATAGCGTCACTCAGGCCAACAGTGGGGTCACTGCACTGACCATCCCAGAGTCTGAGAAGCAGCTGCGAGACAAAGGGCTTCATCCACACATCCGACAAGCACTTAAGGATAGCACCCAGCTTCCACCCTCATTGGAGTCAGAAGTTCTCCCAGCATCTCCTCATCAGATGAATCCTCAGCCTTCCAAGAAGGGCACATAAACCTACATGGGTTTTGGATGTGGATTTCGCTGAGACAATTGCTAAAGGTGTAAACCAGTGATGGTGAACCTTTTCGGCACCCGAGTGCCCAAGCGCACGCATGCCTGTTTTGGGACTGTTTTGAGGCCATTTTTTTTTGCCCTCTGGGCACCCACGAAGACCAGCTGGCTGCAAAGAAAAACGGCTCAAAAAGCGCCAGGGTTTTTCGGGGGGCATTTTCAGGCCGTTTTCTGGCACCTGCGAACAGCTGGTGAGGGCGCATGTGCCAACAGAGAGGGCTATGCGTGCCACCTCTGGCACGCATGCCATAGGTTTGCCACCACAGGTGTAGACGTTCTACTGTTTGGGGCAGTTTGCAGCATCACGTAGTCACACAACCACAATTTTCTTTTCCCCAGTTTGTTTGCTGGTTTCTGGTGTTTACTTCCAGTTTCTAGAAGTAACTTCCAGTTTCTGCCAAAAAGTGCCCATAAGTTAAAACTGATTGCCTTAATAATTGCAGGGTTTATTAGATGACCCACACACCCCACCCTCACAAACAATGTCATAAAATCAAGTCCAATCAGATACACTATATTGCCAAAAGTATTCGCNCCCACTGGAATGAGGCCCTCCAGCTCTTCGCCACCAGCGGTGCTTCCCTCCAGCCTTCGCCCAAAGCCCCCCACCAGGAGGCCAAAGCAGACCCCAAGTTTGAATTTCTGCCCCCCTCTGCCCCACAAAAAGACCCCAAAGGGGAAGACTCTCTACAGCAACACAAGCATTCATTGCACATATTCAGCCCAGAGGCCCAAAGGCACCTAGTTGACTTCCGTGCCTAAGGCAGCAGAATTACCCTGCAATGCTGCATTCTATTCACTGAGCCACCACAGCTCTTTTAGCTAGTTAGGTGGTTAAATAAATAAAAATATAAGTAAATAAAGAATCAATATTTCAACCTGGCTGGAACTACAACTCCACTGCCTACGTTGACTAGAAATCTTCGCTTAAGAACCATAGCACGTCCCAAGGGCAAGGAACTGGAGAAAAGCCAAAGGCCCTTTTCAAGGCTACACTGAGCCACGGTGGAACAGTGGTTAGAGTGCTACATCTGCTGCCTGTAATTTGGCAGTTCGAATCTCACCAGGCTCAAGGTTGACTCAGCCTTCCGTCCTTCCGAGGTGGGTAAAATGAGGACCCAGATTGTTGGGGGCAAATAGGCTGACTCTGTAAACCGCTTAGAGAGGGCCGTAAAAGCACTTTGAAGCGGTATATAAGTCTAAGTGCTGTTGCTATTTTCCATCCTTCCTTCCTTCCATCCTTCCTCCCTTCCTTCCTTTTAGAATGCAGTATTGCAAGCTCTGCCCACTGCCAGCAGTTCGATCCTGACCAGCTCAAGGTTGACTCAGCCTTCCATCCTTCCGAGGTGGGTCAAATGAGGACCCGGATTGTTGTGGGGCAAGAGGCTGGCTCTGTAAACCGCTTAGCGAGGGCCGTAAAAGCACTTTGAAGCGGTACATAAGGGCTACTGCTACTCCCGGGGGACCGACTGGCGAGGGGCAGACTCACCGCCATGCTGGGACTCGACTTGGTAAGGTAGACCACGGTGGGGTAGAACTGGTGCTTCAGGTAATAGGCGTGAGCTATCACGGCGGAGGTTAAGGCCAAGCTGGCAGCCATCATGATGGCGGTCCGGAACATCTCCCCAACGTCCGGCGCACTGCAAGGAAGAGAGACAGGAGCTGAATGACGGACACGCCTGAATTGACACTCTCTGAAAAATAAAAACAGAGCTGGCTGCTGGATTTGCATGCCACGTCTCAGCGCACCCAGGCTTCTATTCTCAACCTCTGACGTACGGCACCGCTTCATACAAGCGTGTCTTGCTGGGACATTTACGTGCTCCAGCGTCCCTCACCTATGGGAAACGAGGGTCTGTCATGGCAACCAACCCCAAACCTATCAACTGCAGAGGGGAAAGCGGCGGTCAGATCCGTTTTCCCCTGGGTTAGCCACCTCTGTAGCTATCCTTGTAAGTGCTGGAATTCACTAAAGCTACAGCAATAACAAAAGCCGAACTCTGAGAAACAACAACAACAAACTTAAATTCACGCAGCCTCTTTCTTCAGCTGATAACTGATTTTACTACCAACAGTCATTGGGGGGGGGGGGACGCTACTGTTCAAAATCCCTGAATCCTAAAACCTTGCTCGTAAAAATTCAGTAAGTGCGACCTACACATTGCTGGAGTTTATCTTAAAAATTATAGAAACAGCCATGGGGGAAAACGCTATTGGTTAAAGAAAAACAAAAACCTGAAGCCTAAATCTTGCTCATAACAATAGGTATTACCTACATATTTCAAAGTTTATCTTAAAAAGCTACCGAAAGTTAAGTCGAACAGGAATATAACATATGACTAGCAACACAATTTTTAATGTTTGACTCTGTTCTCCATAATAGAGACACACAGAGAGAGACAGAGAGGAGAGAGACAGAGGAGAGAGACAGAGATACAGAAAGACACACAGAGATACAGAGAGAGAGAGAAATACAGAGAGAAAAAGAGAGAGAGAGAGAGACAGAGAGACAGAGAGACAGAGAGAGAGAGAGAGAGACAGAGAGAAAGAGATACAGAGAGAGACAGAGAGAGGCAGAGAGAAGCAGAGAGAGAGAGACAGACAGAGAGACCGAGAGAGACAGAGAGAAAGAGATACAGAGAGAGACAGAGAGAGAGAGAGGGAGAGAGACAGAGAGAGAGACAGACAGACAGACCTCTGCTAATTGTGATTGTATCTGAAATGCTAACTGTTTCTGTTACTGGGACCTTACAATAAAGGTAGATTCTCCATCCAGGTCATGGGTGTTCCAAAGATGCTTTTTCCAAGGGAAAATGGACTTTGCTTTTCCTTGAAAATGTTTAGCTTCTCATCCAAGAAGAAGTTGAAGAAGCTTCTTGGATGAGAAGCTAAACATTTTCAAGGAAAAGCAAAGTCCATTTTCCCTTGGAAAAAGCATCTTTG